AAGAGGAAGAAGAAGGGGAGAGAAAGCTGGTGCAGCACAGAACACCAGGCTCAGTTGAGCTGGAGCAGAGCTGAAGCCATCCCCTAATTCCAAGCCAATGATTCAAAGGAGACACACTGCATCTCAGAGGTAGACACTGAACAGGGGCAGGCAAAGGGTAGCAAATGCCATAAAGAGCCCCACGGTTGGACCAAGCTATCACCCTTCTAAATATTCCACTAAGCATGCAACCAAAAGAAGAAAAAGCACAATGATTTTTACCCACACTCTTTACATTAAGAACTTTAAAATGTCCAAATGAGAGTGTACCCACATGGGAGAAAAGAACTAATAAACAACCAGCTTTAGACTTATAAGGATGGTAAACTACATTTGAAAAATCTTGTGAGAAGGCTGGCAGTATAGCTCAGCAGACTAGGCCCTTGCTTAGGTAAGGGCAGGGGCCAGGGTTTGATCTCTGGCACAGCATGCCCCGCGGGCACATTGAGCCAGTGATGGAGTCCAGGCGTGGTAGAGAGCGCATAATCCCAGCATTAGGAAGGCAGAAATCAGGAGGATCACTATGAGTCCAAGCTGTGTAGTGAGATCCTGCACACATACACACACACAAAAAAAAAAAAAAAATCTTGAGAGGCAGATTAAAGTGCCTGCTTAGGCAGACACAGGAGCCAGGGGTTCGATCCCCGGCGTGCTATTGCCAGCCACACCTCCAGAGTGCACTGAGCCAGGTGACTAAGATTGGGCATGGTGGTACATGCCTGTAATCCCAGCGCTTGGGAGGCTGAAAACAGGAGGATCACTACAAGTCCAATCTGGGTAGTGAGACCCTGTAGCCTCTATACCCTATACTAAATATATTTTTAAAAAAATCTTGTGAAATAATAGTAAATTAAAAAATCTATATGCCAAACTGTATCCTCACTGTATCTTTATAAAAAGATGCTTATACTTATGGACTAGAGACACACACCCTCAAAATGACCAGGAGCCAGCAATGTCCGTAAGCGAGGGTGTCTTATTATGATAATTAATGTTGTTATGACATCAACTATTAAACAAATACAGAGAAAGAAAATAAATAGATATAAGACTGTATAAAAGGAAAAATAACAAAAACAAATTAAACTCCTTATTCTAGCGCAGTGACGGCAAGCCTTTTAGAGCTTTCAATGATAACCAACAGCCAGCTGTGGCACATGTGCCACAGGTTCACCATCATGTTCTAACAGATGTGGGCAATTAGGGCCCTCTCCCACCTGGCCACACAGAAGGCCTGCCCAAAGGGTGGTGAGCCCATGAGCCCATGAGTCTGCCTAAGCTCCTGCCAACACACAGCCTGACCCAGCCCCTCAGGAGCGGGACTTTGGCAGAGTCTTTCTTCTCTGAGGTTCTTACATCTTGGTCTTGAAAGCATTTTTAGCTCGCTCAATGCAACCAAACACAATGTTTCAGGATGTATCTTTCTATAAATGTTCTTCCCCCTTCTTCCTCTTCTCCTTCATCTTAAGAAGCTTACATCAGTATTTCTCAAACTATGCCCAGGAGAAGTCAAAACCTGTTGCTGATAAAACAAGAGCTACGGTCCACTGTCAGTAAGATGCTGTATCCTACAGCCCCTGGATCCAGGTTCACAGAGCACATTAAAGACTCCGGGACCACAGAGCGAGTGGCATCTCCCTGCAGAGAGAGGTAGGAATCACCTACAGAACTACCTCCAGGGTTTTAAACAACTGATGAAGACTGAGATATGGACTGAGGGCAACCCAGGCAGGCCTTGCAGCCAGCCGCGTGTTTGCAGTGTTCTGGACTCCCCTGCCGACAGCTCCTACTTGCCCACCCCTGCTCTCCAGAGTTTGTTTCCCCTCTCAGACCAGCCAGGCCTCCCAAGGACAGCCCACTCTGCAGATGCCCAGGCAGAATGCAGCTCCAGCTGCCTGATCACATCTGCCTTGCAACCATTTGTCGGCTGAAGCCAGCTGGCTTAGGAGGCTTAACTGTGAATTCACCGGCATCAGTCAGCGAGCAACACAGCTTATCTTGCTGTGACACACAACACCCTGCAACGAGCGTGAAGAAATGTCAGTTGGAAAGCTCTGGGCTGTGGCCAGTTCCAACATATAATAACTGCGCACGGCACCGCAGCTTCTCTGGAGGAGAAGTTCGGCACCACCAAGATCCCCTCCTCTGCAGGTCAAGCCGTTTCCGGCTCTTGCCAGACGCTGAGTGACAGAACCCACAACACAGACCTGAGTCTGACGCTGGAGACTCCATGGCTGCTTCTGAGGACGCCACACGGGTGCACCCGCCCGAGACCAGGTGCTGTGTGCAGCCTGGACGCTGAGCTGAGTCCATATAAAAGCAGCAAGCTGGGGCCCCTGCAGCTAGGGTGGGAGGTCTCTGCTTTGCATATCTGTGAGCAGGAAAAGTCGGGGCTGGAAATTCTTTCCTGAATAAGAGATGCAAGTGGAAAATTGCCAAGATCCTAAAGCCCCCAGGTAAAGCTGGATATCCAAGACAAAACACTTGTGCCGGCCCAGAGGCAGTGTCCTGGCCTTGCTCCAAGCCCTGTCAGAGGAAACTAAAGCAGTTGCTGCCCTGAGCCACCCTGGGTAACCACAGACAGGAGCCACCAGCTCCCTCCAACCCAGAAAGCAGAATAGAATGAGTGATAACATCACCTTTGGGCCTTCCATTGTGAATCCCACTTCAGGCCTCACCTGGGCCCTGTGCTCATCTCACCAAGGGATGTGTCTGTGGCACAGCCTGCCTTGCATCTACTTGGAAGAGCCCCCCCAAACCCTCAGAAACCCCCCCCACACACACACACACTGTACTTCAGGCCTGGGCAGGAACTCAGAACCTAGCTGTCAATGCCAGCCACTCCTCCCATCCCCTTCTAAAGAAGGGAGGGCCTGGATAGTCTCCCCTTGCCCAGGGAAGGACAGAATCTCATGGAGAGGGGACAACTCTGGTGCTGCGGCAGCAAGAAGAAGGGGTCACTGAGATGAGAGTGGCAGCCCCCTCCAGCCCTTTCTTTCCTCTCTGTAAGAAGCGGTGTATCACAGATAACCAGGACAAGCTCCACTGCACACACACACACACACACACACACACACACACGTGCACGCGCGCACGTGTGAAGCAGGGAGCAGCTGGCCCACCCAAGCCATCCCCCCTCATTCCCCGTCTTACTGTCTGTCACGCTCAGTAGGCCTCCAGCTCTGTGCAGCCTCAGCCGCTCTCCTGGGGAAGGTGGAGCCTGCCGTAAGTGACCCACAGAAGCCAAGCTGGATGGATGAAAACAGCCTCACAGGTACAAGGCTCTGTGCCTTTTCATCTGCCCTTTAGGAGAAGGGACAGACTCAGAAGAGACATGCAGCCTTCTGGTGACTTCAACAAATCATTTGGGTCTAGGAAATAACCATGAGCAAAACAGCTATTTCTGTGATGCTGTTGAAATCCTGGGGAGAAGAGCCCAGAGAGGATGGGTCAGCTGTTTACTGGGAGGGCTAGCTATAGCCCTGACTTGGATCTGAGTCACCCCTCATGTCCAATGGAGAGGTTGTGCCCTCCTGGGCCCACATGGTAGCCCCAGTGAGCACAGAGCAGGATTACAAGGCTGACACATGATCCTCGGCTGCTGCTGGGCCTTGGCTCCACACAGATTACAACCCACCTGTCCTCCCAGCTGTTTCATAAACAGTATGAGCAGCAGGCTACAAGTAACCTAGAAGGAGGGTAATGTGTGTTCATAAAATAATTAAACGGGCTTATGGCATCAGAGAAAAAACTCCAAGCCCTTAGCATTATTCTACCAGAAGGGAGGAAGGGCAACTGATTTCTTCTGCTGGTGTTTGGGGAAGAGGAAGGGATTACAATGGGAACAGCTGCAGCTGCAGCCAGTGCACATGGGTAATTTTATCCTGCACTTTTTAATGAGATCCTGGGCACCAGAAGGCCTGAAAAAGACTGTGTCCTGTGAACCCTTACTGGATTCATGCACAATTTCTGCCAGCTAATTCAACACCCAAGAATACCTGTGGTAAAGAAAGTTGCTTCACTTCATTGAATCCAGTGCACTTATTTGACCAATGCTGCCACAGAGGAAAACACTGATTAACATCCTATGGAAGGCCATTGGACAACACCTTCACTTGAGTCTTTACTGTCCCACCTAGGGCACGTGGCCTTCCGTGTCCCCACTAAGGGTGCGAGGCCCTCTGTACCAGATTCACGGCAATGAGCAGTAGCCCTGCCCAGACAGCAGAGACTGCAACAATGGCCAGGCGTCCTGCTGGAGACAGAGGGATGAAACACCCTCCAGGACTGGGGCAAAAGTTTAGCTCTGTCTCAGCAGGACAAGCTCTGCTCACACCTCATGACTCCACCTTGAGTCTACCATGTTGCTGTTCCTTGGGGCCTGAAACTTTTCCAATGAAGTAACATCAGAACCATCTCTGATAACCAGGCCCAGGGCTTGCACCTCCTGCCTGGAAGATCAGCTTGCATTTACTGCTATCACTTAAGTGCCCCCAGGAAAGGCTGGAATCAAATTAGTCTCAATGAGAAAGATGCCTCTCTCCTCTCTGGATGAAAGATAGGGGATATAGGGGTCTGTTTTGCTTCTCACATAAGATGTATGTGTTACACAAGGAGGGACTTCACCTGCTAAATACCAGCTTCATAACAGACCTTGCTTGTCTCATTCGTGATTATATCCGCATACCTGCTATATGCCAGGTACTCAACACACATCTGTTCACAAATGATTGCATAAAACAATAAATGAATGAGCTAAGTCAAGGATCTACCTATGACAATCTCAAGAATCAGTACAGCATATGGTAAGAAACATAAACTCAAGTCATCTTTCGGGAGTTTGAATCCTGTTTTACCACTTCGTTGCATGACCTTGGGCAAGTTACTAAACCTGTATGGCTCAGTTTTATCCCCTATTTTTAAAAAAGGTAATAAAGATAGCAACCTCATGGGTTGCTATGACAAATTAGATAGCATACATAAAATGCACTGACTAATAGTGCATACCAGGATCAGAGTACTGCCTTCAGGTATTCGTTTCGCTTCCTTTTTTTTTTTTTTTTTTTTTTTAAATGTATTTAGTACAGGGTCTACAGGGTCTCACTACACAGATCGGACTCGCAGTGATCCTCCTGTTTTCAGCCTCCCAAGCATGGGGATTACAGTCACACACCACCATGCCCAGTCTCAGTCACTATCTCAGCGTGGGGTTAGCATGGTACTCTGGGGATCGAACCCCGGTCCCCTCATCTGCCTAAGTAGGTGTTTTAATCCACTGAGCTATCTGGCCAGCCCCATTTCGCTTCCTTTTGGCTTGGTTTGATGTCTGTTTGTTTGGTTTATTTATTAGTGAAATAGGCCACACTGTGTCGTTCAGGCTGGCCTTGTATTCACTATGTAGCCCATGAGGACTCAAACTCAGGGTGATCCTCCTGCCGCAGGCTTCTGGGAGCTAGGATTAAAGGTGCACATCATCTTGCTCAACTAGAGTATGTGCTTCACACAAATTATCTGTCAACATCATTTTCTTTGTCATCATTATTATACCAGGTAGAAGAGAGTTCAATTTAGAAAATGAGCATGAAGTTTCTACTAGACACAGAATCCTTGTATTCAATATCACTTATCTAGCACTATCTCGGACCTGGTATTCTCCCAAGTTTCTCCCTGCGTGCAGGAAAAGGAAAACCAATGTTAAATCTGAAGTCAGATCAGAAAGAGAAGCAGCCTTGTCCTCTACTACGTGGTGGTGGCTGCACAGCCAGGGGTCCACCTTCCTTTGTCCCGGTTAGACCTCATACTGTACATCAAAAGACAAAAGTGTTGCTGCTATCCCTAAATATGGTCAGCATGTTGAAAACATGAGAAATCAATACACCTGATAGAAAAGTCGGGAAGGCCAATGAGTTGCTTTAGGAGAAAAAAACTATCTCCCTGCTTAACCCTAGTGCAACTTTTTACCTGTCTGTGACATTATTAAGATCTGGGATTGATTTTGAGGCCATGCGAAGTGCTTAACCCTAGTGCGACTTTTTACCTGTCTGTGACATTATTAAGATCTGGGATTGATTTTGAGGCCATGCGAAGAGCAGTCCCACAAATGTAAGGGCAAGAAAAACAACCGTCCTATTTCAAAGCACTTGAGGTAGGTGTGAAGACCCATCGCTGATCTGGGATCTCAGAAGAAAACTGAGGCAGGACTAAAGATGGGGCTGAGAGGTCCAGGCATCTCCTCCATCACTGGGAACCAAGTGAGACTCTGTCTATCTGCCTGGCTCAGGGGCTCCCCTATCACTCCACACTGACGTTTTGGAGCTAGGGGAGGAATGTGTCCTCCATGGTTCCAGCTAAGGTCAGCTTTTCCCTGAAGACGGCCAGTTGTTGTCACTCCATCCATGGAGATCATCATCCAGGGTCTGGGACTATGCTGAAGTCCCTCCGAAAGGTACCAATTCTCACCCAGCTCCTTTGCTTATTCGCCATCAGAGAAATGTCCAGGTGCCTGCCGTTGTGGGGCAGGACCCTCAGGCTGCGGCCGCTCTACTCCAGGCAGCCGCTCTACTCCAGGCCCTCTCAAAAGTCATAGCACAGGCCTCTGCCAGACTAGCCCTGCCTTTCACAGCTCTGCTGGCAAAGAGCTACCAGGAAGTTCAAGGGCAGAACACAGACTACTGGCGTACAAGGCTGCACACCTCCCTTGTGCAGAAAAAGCAGAGGCTTCCAACAACCCACCGCGCCTTCGTCCTATCCATCTGGGCCTCTAGGTGCAGGACCCTGGCCGTGCACGTCCCGCAGCAGCCACAAACTCCAAGCACTTAAGAGGCAGCAGGCCCCAGCTCCCTTGATTTCCCCGCATCCTGCGTGAATCTAATTTAGGCCACCAGGAAATCGGGATGCTAGGGGCTCACTTGAGCCGCGGAGCCCAGGCCGCAGTGGGGACAGGGGCCAGAGCACTCGAGGGAGCACAGGCGCGAGGACCTCTCTGGGCTGGGCGGCTGCGAGCCGGGTCTCCACTGCGGCACTCAGGACCCAAGGTCGGCCGCCGCGGCGTCGCCCGCACTCACCCCGCAGCGCACCGGGCCATGCGGGGCGGCGGCGTGCGGGGCGGGGGCG